TTGTGGTCCACTATAACCCCTAGATCCCTTTCTGCCGTACTCCTTCCCAGACAGTCGCTTCCCATTTTGTATGTATGAAACTGATTGTTCCTTCCTAAGTGGAGAACTTGGCATTTGTCTTAAACTTCATCCTATTTACCTCCGACCATTTCTCTAATTTGATCAGGTCATTTTGAATTATGACCCTATCCTGCAGATTAGTCGCAACCCCTCCCAGCTTGGTATAATCTGCAAACTTAATAAGCGTACTTTCTATACCAATATCTAAATCGTTGATGAAGATATTGAACAGAGCCGGACCCAAAACAGACCCCTGTTGAGTATCATTGTGGCCCGAGGCTTCCAAAGTTGAGTAGCCCTGTTTTAGTGGCTGGTGACAGAACATTATTCAGGTTGCACCTCTGTGTTTTGGGACTCTCTGGTCTAATCTGCAAACTTAATAAGCGTACTTTCTATACCAATATCTAAATCGTTGATGAAGATATTGAACAGAGCCGGACCCAAAACAGACCCCTGTTGAGTATCATTGTGGCCCGAGGCTTCCAAAGTTGAGTAGCCCTGTTTTAGTGGCTGGTGACAGAACATTATTCAGGTTGCACCTCTGTGTTTTGGGACTCTCTGGTCCAACAACTTCAGCAGGATCATGGATGTTGCAAGACCAGAGAGTTCCAGTGGCAGAGGTTGCTGGCAGCTGGGAGCAGAGACAGCCAGCTAGGGTAGTAGAACCCGTGGGGCAGAAGAGCTCACAGCTGGCAGGGCAGTGAAGCTGGCAGGGTCACTGGAGCCTGTGGGGCTGCAAAGCCCACAGGGCAGCAAAGCCAGCAAGGCCATGGGGCTGAGGCACCAGCACAGCTGCCAGAGCTCCTGGGACTGCAGAACCAACAGGGCTGCTGGTGCTGCCAGAACCTATGGGCAGCGGTGCCTGCAGCTGGCCCAGCAACAAAGCCAGTGGGGCTGCAGGAGCCAGTGGGCTGCAGAGCTAGAAGGGCTGCTGGAGCCTGTGAGGCCACCAGAGCCCTTGAGGCTGTGGAGCCCACAGGGGCTGCCAGAGTCAGCAGGCCAAGGGCAGTGAAGCCCAGCAGCCAAGAAGAGGAGCCCAGCAGGGAGGCTGGTGTTCTCCTACCACCATCTCTCCTAGTCTGGCAAACTGCATTTTCTGGGACTGGTCAGGTCCCCAGGGTTCCAGACCAGGGAGGTACAATCTGTAGTATGAAGGCTTTCACCTCCCAAATGTGTGTCACCTTTTGTTCCAAAAAAGCTAGAATTTGTGAACTTCATATGCAAAACTTATCTACATGCAAGTTTTTTTTAAGGGGCATAGAGTTAGTGGAGTGGGTCTCAGTGTTAGTGAATTGAGAAATCAATCACTGTTGATGCTGTGTCATTTAGCATACATTTTACAAATAGTGTTTTTAAATATTGATGGTTGGCGTGTTTAGTGTTTTATGACAAGTGTTATGGAAATATATGTAAATTCTCTAAAGATTACCACATGTTTAAGGCTCACTCCCCAGGAGTGTTGTATAGGGTTGCTAGGTGTCCGGTTTTGAACCGGACAGTCCAGTATTTGAGCTTTCTGTTCGGGAAGCAAATTGAGAAAATATAAATGTCCGGTATTTTCTAAATAAGATGTAATGTAGATTGTGATGTAATGTCAAGTGTGTCCGGTATTTTTGTTGAAACCATCTGGCAACCCTAAGTGCTGAGCATCTCAAGCAAAATGCTGTGGTCTCTCAATTTATTGACTCTGTGGAAATGGTAACCATGTTGCCAGACTGGACAGTGACTACACAGATTTACCAAGAGAGTTGTTGCATCTGGGTTTAAAGAGACAATTAAAAAAGAAAGCCTGCTGCCAAATATCTGCCTCTTCTGAACAAAAAGCAAATACACAGCATCTAACATGCATTCAGATCAAGGACTTGATTAAATGAAATTCATCTTTCTCCCCAGAGGAACTGCAACAAAACAAGAACAAAAAGCTAGAATCAGAACACTTGGAATGAACAAGCACCTAAACTGAACACTGCAGTTCTTTTACTACATTGTTCCCACTCCTTATTTTTATGTGCTGCATCCCTAGTGATGCTATGCCAGGAACAGCAATAATTCTGGCTAATTAATCCTATGACAGAGAGTGGAGCAATAAGAAAGACTAACAATGTTCTTTATTGTTTATGGACTGAGGGGCCTACAGCCAATATATCTTCAGCATCATTCCCTGCTTATATAACAACTGTAGAAAGAAGCCAGGCTTATTAGTGCACAGAAGCTGCTGCCTTGCAATAGCTCGCCTCATTAATTACTGCACATGGCTTTACAGTTTGCAGCTAAAAACAAAGCCCACTCAAACAGCCCCCCCCCCTTCCCTGTGTGTATGAAGCAGAAATCCAGGCTGCAGTACTGTTGAGTATTTTAATTGTGTCTTTTCCTATAATACTTTGTTTTGCCTGTTTTTGTTTTCTTCATCGCAGCACTTATCTCCCTTCTGACAAAAAAATTGGAAGGTACAGTTATGCCTGGCTCTGTATAGATGAGCTTCAGTGGGGAGAGCACATGGACCCTATACTCCTTTCCAGCACTTCTACAGGAAGTTGTTGCTGAAAATAAGCTGAACCCTACAGCCCTGAAACTCAGATCTGGCTGATAGCATAGGCCCTGGAATAGCATAGGCCCTGGAATAGTGAGGATCAGAGGTGGCTGTACACCAATTTTACACCCCTCATTCCTGAGGCTAGCTAAGGTCTGGTTTTATCCTTGGGTCTACTCTAAGTTGTGATAACTTGCAGCTGGACCCCAAGAGTTTACTGACCCCTCCACACTGCCTCCACTAGAGAACATAGGGGTAGTTACCCTGGCTGGCACTACACCTGTTTAAGACAGCACTGGCAATCCAACAGCCAAAACTCTGGTGTTATTAATACATGACATCTGTGTAACCCCCACAGCTGTGTTAACATGGACATAATTACTTGTATGGATGGCAGGTCCACAAAGGACTCTTAATGAAGTAGCCAAGAAGATCCAATATGCTTACAGATTGGAAGGGTAGTTAAGAGCCTCATGGCACAAAACCCACACAAATACTACTCCGGAGAGAATAAAAATGTTCCTCATGATGGATGAAGACTGTTAATGTTGTTATAGACATTGACAATGAGGGACAGAAATAATTATTTTGGATTAAGATTTAAGACCAGCCATAAAAGTCTTGTGCAAACCTGTCACCATATTAAACAGGCTTTCTTGCACAAAGGGTAACTCCTCCTTCCAGCTAAACAGAATGAAAGTCGCCTAGGTGGAAGAGTTGTGTTTTCTTTAAAATAAAAGGTAGCCATCAACCACCTCAGAACATTCAGGAAAATTACGTGTTACAGGATTTGGAAGAGGAAGAAGAATCAGAAGAAAAGACTACATTAGCTATTCATACACTGAAAAGACCCATATAAAGAATCTTATGCCTTCTCTGACAGAGGTACTTTGTTTTTCTTGTAACTTGGAACAATCCGGTCATAATGCTGTTAAAAAATAAACGTATGTGATGGCAAATCATAATTTTCTAATTTGTGTAAACCTCACTCAGTTGTGTTATATACTCTCATCGAATTACAGAAAAAATGAACATGGTTTAAACTGTTGCCCCCAAATGCCATCTTCTGTCCTTAGGCCCATATGTGAAAAAAGAGGACCTTCTGTTTAACACACATGACTAAGAGTCAGACAACATAAATTGTTTTCTGGCCGTAGGCAGGACTATCAACCCAGCCTAGGTACCCAGGCTATACCTAGAACCATCTCTTAACCTCCATGCTTGTGTTATCCAATGTTTAATACAGACAGAATATTTATAATAAAAACTAGTTATGCCTGGCTTGCAGAGATGGTAGGAGATTTAGTTCATTAATGCTCTAACAATGTTTTGGAACCCTCAGATGTGTGCACTCTAGAAGTGAAGTATTATTTATTGACTTTGAGATTTTAAGCAAAGATAGAATTTGCCATAAGCAACCCAATTTTCAAAATAGGGCATCCCAAAGTAGATGTGTCTGAACCAAGTATATATATATAAACAGCAACAATTTGGACAGCTAGATGCAGGTCCACAACCAGATTTGAAATTATGTTTAAAAGTATCCTATATTCCATATTTTCCTTAGTTATAACAGTAAGGATAAATTTAATTTTTTCCAAATCATACCAGAAGGAGTTGCCATTGTATCGTGTGACATCTTTTGCACTGCTTGTTTCCTTTAATAGTGTTGGCATATAGCTGTAATACAAAACTAGGAGTTTCCCCCCTGAAATTCTAACTCCTCATTCATTCAAGCAAGAGTAACTTTTTGCTGCACACAACAAGAAAAGCCCAGGCTGTTTCAATGTAGACACACTTTGAAAGAGAGCAAGATGAAATCATGTATTCTAGTTCCTGAGAATGAAGAAAAGATTTTCCAGCTACAGCAGTACTGCAAAGTAAGATTTTGTTAATCATACATGCCCTTTTAGACAGTGCAATGCTGGGAGTCCCTGTTGATTTATTTTCCTTTTTCACACTTCACAAGCAAACTGAAATAATCTAATTTTTAATACTGTATACAGTTTTATTTTGAATTGGACTTAGGCTGGAGCCAGGGTTGAAGCTAGGCAATTTCCACTTTCTATGGTACTGTTCCCTCTTACCACCC